AAATGGCCCGTTGGGCGTGTCTCGTGCGAATAGAAAACTACACACAAAAAAAGAGTTCAACGAAACGGTGGAAAATTTAGGTATGCGCAAAGTTGGGAAAAGTTTACCATTTTAGTGGCAAGAAATTATATGGTTACAAGAGTGGTAGAAACACGCGGACCGGGAATGTGTTTGGTCGGTGGAATAGCTGAGGAAACGTCATGGAAAGAGGGCAGAACCAGAGGAAAAGCGAAGGCAGAACTGTTGGAATTTTCAATGCAAGTTTTTTAGCCGTAGAATTAAATACTTCATGAAGAAGTATAGATATGAATCTATAGATTCTTTATGTTATATTTACTTTCAAATTAACTAAAATATGGAAATTCCTATTGTCAACTTTCAACTCTCTAGAAACGTTTAAAATACACCTTCGGGTTAATTTTGTTTCTATTTGCATCTTGTGATTGAAATTTCTATTCTCTTGGTTATTCTGGGGTTAAGTTTGTTTCTCTTCTTTGTTTTTGTGTGCTTTTTCAACTTCAACTTCTTTGTTTTTTTGATGTCAATGACTTTTTTTGCGGTTCCCCCGCGGAATGGAAGTTTCTTTTTCTTTCACTCTTTTGCTTCCACTTGTGGTATGGGGCGGGCAGACCGTAGCCGTCGCCGTCGTCGTAGCTGCCGCTGCCGCTCTCTTTTTCTTGCTGACTAATGCTGCAGTGGTCGTGCGACGCCGACGCCGACGCCGCGTCTCAGTTGCCAGACAAATCTGCATGCACTTAAATTTTTGTTGTTTTTCATACGCTTCTCTTTCTCTGGAGAGTATTTATGACTTTGGGGTAAGGTTTGTTGCCCTCGTTGCAGCTCGGGGTTCCCTCAGAATGGCAACACAAACCACCATCGGAAGTAGTGCTCTGAAAATGTAGCAAAATCTATTTATTTATTTATTTTTTGGTAACTAGAAACTAAAGTAAAGATAAATCCATAAGGGCATCTATAGCTTCGGTCATGCGAGTCATTCTCTGTTGTTTTGTGTTTTTTGTAGGGAAGTTTATTGTTTTATGATTTCTCCAATGTTTTGTTTGTCGCTTGGCTGGAAGGCGTGTGCCCCATCCTCGCACTCTTCTTCCACATATTTCTCCCCTATTAGCCTGCCCCCCCCCCCCCCCTCCCCTTACTTTGTGCTCCTTTTCTTCTTTTTTCAGCTTGAGCTTCATTTGCATTTCGGTCTGTTTATTTGTTTGTTTGGTTTTGTTTAGTGTTGTAAATAAATATTGTTATTGGGGGACCGGCGACCCAAAAAGGATGCTGGCAGCCGTGCCTCTGCCGCCCGCTCTATTGCTGATTTTAATTTATTTTTTCCTGGAAAATCAGCTGATAATATTTGTGGTTGTTTTATGTTTCGTTGATTTCTGGGTCAACTAACGGCCGTTGCTCTTACCCATTTACCCCACTTGATACAACATGTTCTACACAAATACAAATATCAATCAGGGAAGTGTGATGTTGCTTTGCCATTGATTTATTATTATTTCAAACTTGCATATAACAATTTGTTTGCCAATGTTTACGGAACAGCTAAGAACCCTAGCATAACACAGTTGATACACGAGCATTGGGGAGCACAGTTTATTCGTGAGGAAAGGCTTCTAATGAGCTTTGCCCGCCCCCCAGCTGCTGTTTCCTTTCAGATATAAGGTCTACATACAAATTTATATAAATTTTACCATACAAACACGTCTCACATCCATCCATCTGCTGGATATTAATGATCGTTTCACCAGTCTCTAGCTGCTGTTAATGGTCTTTCGCTTTGTGAATCTCTCAAAACAGACAACAACAGCTGACCGCCGACTGCCGGACCAGATTCTTTTCTATCGGCTTTTGTTTACCAGGTCGTAAATTTTCCAATTTGACTTTAATTGCTGCGCGATTATTGCGCGGGCTTTTCTGTTTTTCTTTTCGGGGGGTGTTCGTTCAGGTTTTCGGACATTGTTTCCCCCCACTGCCTCATTCTGCTTCTGCCATATGTTATGCTTCACGGGGGAAGATTGCGTGAATATTATTCTTTATTTTAAACAAGTATTTTTAGCATTATTGCCCTTGGAATATTTGACACGATTTCGATTTTGAATTTTTGAATTTTTCCCCCGTTGTTTGCGTTTTGTGTGGCTCATAAATAATACAAAAGATGGGCCTGGTTGAGGGGTGTTGGTTCTTATAGATTAAGTTTTCCTATGGAAAAACGTTCGTTCTCTTTTCCTCACTTTTCCCTCTTCATTTCTCTATCTCTTTTGCCTCTGAGTGTGTGTGCTTTTTTTTGCTCCAATGTCAGCGAAAGATCAATAAACTGTTGGCAAATAACAAGAAATGGAATCGCCAGGCAGAGAAAAAGACACAAAGAAGAGAAACGAAAACAAATTAAAGCGCATGAAAAAAAGATTACAGAGTAAAAGAAATAGCAACAAAATAAACAGAAAAACAACAACAACAAATGTTGCGACAGATAAAGAGTAAGAAAGAGAGAGCTGTAGACACAGAGTGTTAAAGGGAGTTGAGTTGGGATTTATAGGGAAAGAAAGGCTTACCGAAGCTATTGATTCGCTTAAAGATCGATGATTGTTTTCTAAAGTATAGTACAGCAATAGATAGAGTCATCAGATATGGATAGGGTTACAAATATTTATCCCAAATATCTCGAAATAAAATTACATTTACCGCCTGCCTCGAAGATCGTTCGAAGATCCTGTTTTACATTTTGCAACGGCTAAAGTTTCTTTAGCAATAAGTAATTATTTTCACATTCTTGCTTGTACAAGCAAGTCGCATACAAAGTGCGAAAGGGTTCGCTCATTCAAATACTGCAAGAGAGGTCGAAAGACAGTGAGCAATAGAGAGAGATCCACAGACGGATTAAATGAGTGTTGGCCCCCCCCCCCCCCCCCCCTGACATGGACGTCTCGGAGTTCATGTCTGGCTTGGCTGCCCTATCCCCCTTCCCCCCGCCGATTCCATCTCTCGCAATCTCTAGCTGAGGTCGCCTCTTCTGCTTCATCTACCCATTCCGCTCCTCGCTTTCCTATATGTGTGTGTGTATGTATGTGTGTATATCTGTCGTTATTTATATAATAACAGACAATACAAAACAGAAAGACAGAACCCCATCTCGCCGCACCGCACCATATACTCGTGCACACAATAATACATCATAGGGAATGACTGACTGACTGCCGGCTGTCTGTCTTTCTTCTTTCTTCTGCCAACCCCTCCTTCTCTCACTCAGTGACTTTCTGTGTCTGCTCCCACTGTGTCTCTCCCTTTCTTCTTCTGCGACTTTTCGCGGTTTCTCCTGTTGTTATTTTTGGCACAGAAATAAACAAAAATCTTCTCGTCATCATCATTAAAGTTGTTTTGGCCCGGCTTTGGGTCTGTGCTGTGCATGTCTGAGAGAGACACATCGAAAAAGCAGCCACCAAAGTAAATATACTCGAAAGCTGCAATCTTTGGGGATTTTTGCCAGCAGATTTATTTGCTAATGATAAGAGTTTTGAAAGAGTATTATTTGGGGGAAACAAACACAAAAGGATTTGTGCGAACACTTTGTAAAAATAAAATAAGCTTTGGCTTGCAAAATAATCCTGGAAAAGGGATCTTTTTGCCAGAGCTCTATGGTTCGGAGTTAATTCTCTCAAATGTTCCATAGTTAATATGGGATCAAACATTTAACATGTGTCAAAAAAAGTTTGTTTTATGGATAATTAATAACGATAAAGCTTATATAGATGTCTAACAGCAGTCATCAGTCAAAGTCACAGATCAAAGATTTAATTTGTTGATGCCAAGTGCCATTAAATATGTACATGACAAAAGATTCTTTAATTGAAAGTCGTTTGTTGATATATCAAATCTTTAAAGATTTCTTCGATACTTAGCGATTTTTAGATATTTTCCATAATTCATTTTTCGCATTTAAATTGTAGAGCAAAATATAATTTCCACTTCTACTTTTCTTAGGTTTTTTTATTATTTGTGTTCCTTGCTAACACGTTCATTTATTTTCATATAGTTATACGAAATGTACAACTTAAATATTTAAGAATTTAAAGCCAGAAAATGCATATTTTATAATATTTTTCTTTCTTTTGTATTTTTCAGGTGCGTATCCTTGAAGCGACACTGCTGCCTGCCTCAAGTCCTGGATTATTGAGGCGGCCATTGAGTGATGATGATAGTGATGTAAGTCCCCCAAACATCAGTCGTTTACCACAACTATTTTAACTGTCAGTCAGTAAGTCAGTCATTTTATGTGTCAGTCAGTCACTCGGTAGATGCATCTGTCTGCCAGTCAGTATACCTCCGTGTCTGGTAGTTAGTCAGTCACAGCAGAGAGACGACACGCTAATCAAGTTGACCTCTCCCTAGTTTTATATACACATATATATTACGCGTATATTGTGCGCTCAAATTGGACAGCACAACAAATATAATAGGCAATCTAACTAAGCAAACACACACGTGTCCCCAGAGAGGTTCAGCAAAAATGTCTCTGCTTGAGTAATAATAGAAACAGTAGGAAGAAGATACTCGTATCTTGCTTTGTGTATAATAGCAACAGTGGGAAGAGGGCAACACAACGGGCAAATTAAACTCAAATATTGATTCAGTCTCAATGGGAAGTCTTCATTTTCTATAGAAACATCAAAAATACCCATACAATGTTGAGTCAGAATAGAGAATGTAATTTTGAATCATTCTATTGAAAGGAACTGGTCGATTGTTTGGGTTTGGGTGGATTAACTTAACTAATTAAGTTCCATAAAAATACTAAAATACTAAAATAAAATACCATTCAAATCTGATATACACTGCCCATAACCCAAAGAAAATTAATGCCTGCATTTTCCACACATTTTTCGGGTGTTTCCAAAGTCGTTGAACTTTGTTTGTGAATACCCTTGATAGAGGGTACTTGGCACTTGGCTGCACTGCGGCAGTTCGTAACGTATACGCAACGTGTTCACCAGCTCGCCCTGTCTCTTGGACATGCTCTTTCCACTCGAGAGCTTTGTCTCCACAATTGCCTTCAATTGAGCTCAATTCGCTGTGGCTTTGCTTTCGTTGATTGTTGCACTTGACTTGATGATGATCAGCTGATGGCAGAGCCAAAGTTACAGCCGCCAGCACACCAGTGTGTTTGTGTGTGGACCAGAGATCAATATATGTTAATGTTGACCCACATTGAGAGCAACAAAAAACGTTAATAGATTTCCGAAACAGGTTTTAACAAGGAAATCAAACTCAAAACGACAAGGCAGACGAGCGCTGATGCTGCTGCTGCTGCTTGCTGACCAAGCCCAGAAAATAAACATAAACCCCCCCAAGAGTCAATAAAATGAAGCAAATAATATCAGTTTTCTGATACCGAGATACCACCACATGCCACTCGCAGTTTAAGTAAGTTAGCGCGAAATAAAAAACACCTTAAATTAATAGAGCCATTCAAGGTTTTCGCTGTCTTTGTCGCAGTCTCATCCGGAGTTGGTTTTCGTCGTCTCTTGGCCCCGCGGCGCAAACACACCAAAACAATAAAATATTATGGTAGAAAAATAAAAGACACCAAAAAAAAGGCAAATGCCGTTTGTTTCAGTTGGGTCAATAGACTTTTTGGTTTTGACTTCAACTTTTGTGTCTTGTCTGTTTGATTATGAAAATTTATGCCTAACGGGAGTTTTGTAGTTGTCAAGAGAAGCCAAAAGGTCATCTTTTAAGTCGCTCTTAGCTGCAGACATACAGACACGACCCCCCCTCTCGTTGCTGCTTATTTTGTTTCTGCCTTTATTTGTCGTCGCTGGTCTGTCGTGTCTTGCTGCTTAACATTTTATGGTTAAATTCCATATTAAAGTGGAGAAAAAATCTTGTATTCAGTGGAAAACTACTGCAGCTCGAGGAATAAATGGAATTCAAGGCAGTGACTGCAAGAATCTTTAGAGATTTTATTGAGAATATCACCCATCCCATTGGGTTTGCTTTAATTTATGCACGTACCGAATAGCGTAATCGAATCCACACAAACTCCTGATTATTCCCTACAATTTCCCATGAATTCCAATCTCATTTCATTGACTAACAAATTCGCAGAACGCAGAAGAACGCAACAAACGCAGAAACTTTTGCTGACACGAGTTGTGCCTGTTCTCTTGACATGGAAAGTTAGTTTTCCAGAGAGGGAGGTACTAGGAGGGTGCTGCATTAATCATACGCCTCATTGGTCAGCAATCAGGGAGGATGGCAAGGGGACAAGGGGATAACCACCTGAGCAATCTCCGTGTCATGTTCTGACTCCCCGGGGCGGCCTGTCAGAGAGAAAAGGCCAATCAAGGAAGACACGAGCGCTGTGCCTGTGCCTGTCCCGTGCCCATGTCCGTGTCATGCTCCAGCCTTGATCCATCATCAGACATGTTCCACCGCATTCTCATCCTCATCATCGTAAGCGTTGGGCCTTATCCTGTGTCACATCCTCTGCTGGTTAGGTATATGCATGGTGTAAGCCAATTTGCTGTGGCAATGTTCGATTGGGGCTCCTACCTAGTCTTTCCCTGGAGCCCCTCTTCCGCATCTATCTTTGGGGTTGTCTTCCTTTTTGCAGCACGTCTAACGAAGCAGCGGAGGGCTGGGTTGTAGCATCCCTAAGCTGGAGGCGACCACGCCCCCGCGTATTAGCATCGTCGTTCAGTTACGTGTGGCCCGAAGAGGGGACTAGCAATGGGATTATTACTCAATCGATAGAACAAATTACAACCCACTCGGCTTCTCTTTTGCTTTGTTTTGCATTATGAAATATTTTGGCCCCACGTTGGCTCCATTTCTGTGCGTATATATCTGGATTTTGGTATGCTGTAATCGCTCTTGAGATGTGTCACAGGCAGCAGGTTCTGTTTGCGACAGGATAAAATATGAGCTAACAGCATCAGGGGGAGGATAAGGTGCATCCTCAGGGTTATTTATATATTTAAGAAGAGTTTTCTGAGTAAAAAATTCGTTGTGGGAGCAGAGAAGACATTTTGAATTTCTTCCTATAAATATTACGATAATTGCGTTTTGCTTAAGGATCTACAAATAGCATTCTAATTGGTTGGTTTTCATAGTCAGAAATGGGGAATATTTTTGTGTCTGAATATATAAGTCCTCTGCTATTTATGGACTCATATTTTCCTTTTCTTTCTGCTGATGCTGTGGCGCCTGTGGCACTTGTCACTGCTCCATTGCCTAATTGATAATTAAGCCAGCGCGCAGGCACCACCATCATCATCATCGTGTTTATCTGGGGACAAACTCCATCGTTAGTGCATCATCATCATGAGCATCAAGTGCGACTGGGGCTGGGATGCACCAGCCTCCGCTGCCATTGTTGATTTCGTTTCGTGTTACAGGCAGTGCCTCAAATTTCGCGGCATGATTAATATCTGTGCATTAATTAGACGCCTCGCTGTCATGACTCATCCACTGCCTGGCAGTTGTCTCTAGATCCCCAATAACTCCCCCCCCCCCCCCCCCCCCCCCCCCCCCCCTCC